GGATACTTCTAGTTACCATCTTAAACAACATATTGCAGAGAAGGAGGAGCATAAGAAAGTCCCATATGCTTGAACTTGTAAAAACATAACGAAAGGTGTGTTACAGTCACGAACTTACAACTAAATGAAGTTTTAAGAATCTAGAAAGAGCAATACTATTGGAACCTAATTTTTTGACTTAATTCACTATGACCTTTGGATTGTCCATTGAAATTTGGTGTTAATCCAATGATTTCAATGAAGGCACGTCATTAGGTTAACAATTATGTCATATTTTTAGGTCTAAATAGCATTTTCCATCTAGAAATGAGGTTCAGGCACTTATGCAACCTAACAGAGCTACACAAAATTTCATGGAATTAACAACACCATAATTCACAGTCTGATTGTATAAACAAATATTCAACGTTCAAAATAACGTATGCAGTTCAGATGCTCAACACTAATCATATCGTACCATGGTGATTTTGGATTTATTACAACAGACAGCAACCTCAGTATCATCTAAGAGCAGAACTACAATGCTCATTTAGTCCATGTATTTACAAACTCAGAAACTACAATGCTCATTTTTTATCACCAAAAAAGAAGTACAGGAACATCTTGACATCAGTATGCCTACCAGAATAACTAACTCACCTTCCAATTTCAATTCTGAACAACATCAACTACCATTATTCGGAAGGTTAAAAGAGGAAAATGGGTCTTACCACAGACAGGTTCATCACATGCTACATCCAGTTATCAAAACCAACATTTATTTCCAATATCGTTGAGTGTATGTCCCACCCATCCCACCATCAAACGAGACTGAATATGTGATTACCACCATGAAAACAATCACAACACTCTCTGTAGTGAGAGACATACTCTAAACCAGATTTTCATGAAAGCAGCCCAACGAAAATCAGCTATCACTGAGAAAATAGGAAGTGAACAACTGAGAAAAGAAGCAACATTCGACCATCATGCTAGCTTTGTTATATCTGCTGCTGAAATATAAACATTTTGAATGAGGCAACATACAGAAAAACTACCGACAGGAGTAACAGGACTTTGTACTCCATGGTCTTCACCCATTCTATGAGAAAACAATGAGCAGCTCAAGTTGGAACGAAATCCCAAGGACCATTCAATATGTGCAAACACAAGGAAACACAAATAGTAACAACAGTAGAAGTTTTTGCATTGAAATATCTGTAAAATTCGAGTCCCCGGTCGACCACCTCCTCATGAAAAACATTAAGACTTCTTCTCAAAGCATCAGAAATCTTTTCCACCAAAAACTCCAGGAAAGATCTAACCGTCTCAAAAGTTACCCTGCCGGTTACATCAAGAACAAACCTCCTATTGCTCGGCACTGCCAGAGTAGAAGACATCTTACTCACCCACCCACTACTCTGATTCTTATCAAATAATTTTCTTGCTTTCAATTCAATTGATATGGATTCTTGCCTATCGAGTGTCTGCTTAACACAATTCAGACCTTGTTGAAGATCAACAGGTAAATAAGAGGAATACGAATTTGAATTAGGACTTGTCAGGACTTGGTGAGAAGTTCTAACAAGAGTTTCTACTGCACCATTGCAAACTGCTGCCAACATTTCTCTCACTTTCGTTTCATGCTTGGGATTAGTCAACCCCGAAAAGATTTCATCATAGGTGTTGATATTCATTGTCCTGTCAAGATAAACAGTAACCGCGGTGCTCACAATCACTTGGATGCAATCCCCAATAAGTTCTCTGCACTTCTCGCCACATACCACATCAACCCATCTTGGAACAGTTGGGGATTCCAAATCAAAGTTCTCAACATTTGTGAAACCATTCAATTTTGATCCTCCACCATATTGCCTTTCCGAATAAAAACCAATAACCAAGTTCCTGGCTAAGCTCCCAACAACTACTGAAGCAAAACCAGACCCAGCTGGGGTAAAGAGTTTGTCCAAAACCCGGTCAGAGAACCTGGAATCACCACCTTTTTTCACTTCAGACCGATAACCTCGCAAAATTCCCACAGTTAAAGCCCTTGTAATCATAATCAGAGATTCCGAAAACTCGTCTGATCGTGAAATCTTACAGATTTGTCTCAAACTATTGGGAATTTGGTCAGAGTCTGATTGTATAAATTCTTTTAAATCTTTGGCGACAACTCCTATAGCCTCAGCGGAATCGAACACCATTTCGGCAACAGAAATTAGAGCACTAAACAGTTTCGACAACCTCTTCCTCTTCCTAACCACAGAAGGTGAGTGATAAACCTTGTATACACTGTAACTGGTAAAACCCAAAGCTGCAAATACAAAAGCCCACTTCTTTCTTTTTCGGGTATAGTCCAAACCCTTCTTCACCAGTTGCAAATCCACAGAAGACATGAATGAACCCTACAAGGGTTACAAATACCAAAGGTGTTTTGGGTTTCAATGGTGCTAATTTGAAGTTTGGGGTTTCAGTACTGGAATATGCTAATTGTCAATTGAGGAACTCGTTGAAGCTTTTCGTGTTTAGGGTTTAATTTACATGCATCTATGATATGTACTTTGCAAATATGAACATATATATTATAGTTACAGACACAAACCTGAGAATGGAGAGAGAGAGAGAGAGAGAGAGAGAAGGGGTGACGTAGAAGGCGTTGCAGCGGTGGTAATTGCGGATACAGGGGAGGGATGGGTTTTGTGCACGTACTAATACTTGAAATTGTGCATATCAGAATGACGAAAGCAACAAAAATTACGACAGCTATTCGCCCCGTATATGACCCTTCAATTCGAATTAGGATGATACATATGGCTGAGAGATATCCTATACAAAGGTGGTGTTTGGATAGTAAGACAAAGACATGTTAGATTGGATACAAATTTAGTCGGGTCGCACTTAAGGAATTGTCCATCAACACTGTTGCATTAGTACTCGTAAGCAGAATTGAATAGTTGAAACAAAGCATCAACTTCTTCTCAAAGTTGCTAGAGCCTTAGGTTTCAGACTAATCTTCCTCTTTTTGGGAAGAATGTGTCTTGACAGCAGCCTACTTGATCAATAGACCACATTACTCACATTTGAGAGTATTTAGTTGTTTATAAAAGAAGCAAATTTGATTCTAGGGCTAGACAATATGTCTTCATTGGACTTAGATTTAGAGTAACTTCAACGGGATAACTAAACTTGGCTTATTAGCTATTTTAGATAGTCACTCCATAAATTTTGGCTTCAACCGGTTAACTATCACACTCGGTATTACCCATTTTTAACATTTGGCTCGTTGAATCTGGCGAGAAAAGAAAGTTAGCTATTTGGCTATTCATCAGAATCGTCTTCATCACAAAGAACATGGTTGGTCTTCATCACAGATTCGGATATTTGGATATTCATCACAAATCATCTTCATCACAGCTTGGATCACAAGTCTGGTATGCTCTCTCTCTCTCTCTTTCTCTCTCACTCACATAACCTCCATCGATTTTGATTATAAAAAATCTATCAAAATGATCAAAAAAATAAGATTTAGGATTTTCAGGAGGTGGGTTTTGTGGCGTGTTCAATTTCAACAGAGGTGGGTTCTCTTGAAAGTTTGGAAATGTGTCTTTGATTGGAAATGGGTTTTTCTAACTAGAACTACCTTTGTGATTCTTGAAATGAGTTTTTCTAACTGTTTGCTCAGATTCTTGATCACAACTTGAGTAGATCAAGAACTAAGGTAATAAAAAAATCCAATAAACCCCCCTAGAAATTAAGTAAAACCTCCAAAAAAATCTAGCAAAATTCCCCCAAAATCCAGTAAAACCCCTCCAAAAATTCAACAAAACCTCCAAAAAAAATTCAATAAAACATCCCAAAAAATCCAGTAAAATCCACAAAAAATCCAGCAAAACCCCCAAAGTATTTTATGATATTTACTCTTGTAGCCCATCTTTTATGATATTTACTCTTGTAGCGCATAATTGATTAAATTTATACAATGTATAAATGAATTGCTATTTTTTAACTTTTATTCTTGAAAGTTAGTTGAAGTAGTTAGCTAAAATAGATAGCGTGGTTAGAGTGAATTTGAAAAAATAGTTAGCTAAAATAAATAATACAATATTTTATTTTATTTTGAGTAACTATTTTAGATTTCATGGTTGAAGTTGCTCTTACAAACACACTCTGTCTTCTTATCCAAGGATGTTACTTTTCATGAACATCTTTTTCCATTTAACACCTTTTCTTCTCAATCTTCGTTTTCATTCTTACGAGGATTCACTAGTTTTACCAATAATCTTTTCTAATAATACTTCTATACCCTTCATCCCATCCAATGATTCATCTATCATATCATCATATTTAGATTTTTTTTCTGACAATTCCAATTATCACCTTTCTGCTTCTTTAACCACTGATTTCACTAGACACTCCACTAGAACAAAGAAAACCCCAAGTTATTTGCAAGATTATCATTGTCAATTCATTACTTCTCAACATCCTCTTCAACTTCTGTGGTTCCAATTCAACAGTCATCAGGTACAGCTCACAGCATTTCTAATTTTTTGTCCTGTGGTAAACTTTCTCCTGCACACAGAGTATTGCCATCTTTTCAAATTTTGAACCTCAATTTTTCCATGAAGCTGTTAAATCTCCTCATTGTTGTGATGCTATAACCACTAAGATTCAAGCATTGCAGGATAATAATACCTGGACTGTTACTTCTTTACCCCTGACAAGATATGATGTAAATGGGTGTATACAATCAAGTACAAGGCAGATGGCAGCATTGAAAGATACAAGGCAAGACTTGTTGCCAAAGGTTATACTTAACAAGAGGGGCTGGATTACCTTGAGACATTCTCTTCAGTGGCCAAATTTACCACCATCAAGTGTCTCTTAGCTTTGGCTGCCATAAAGGGATGTCATCTGTTTCAGTTAGATGTACATAATGCTTTCTTACATGGGGATTTACGTGAGGTGGTTTATATGAAACTTCCTCTTGATTACTCACATCAAGGAACTTCTCAAGTTTCTCGTTTGAATAAATCTCTTTATGGGTTAAAAACAAGCCTCTAGACAATGATTCTCTAAGCTCTCTACAGCTGTCCTCAGCTATGTTTCACCCAATCAAAGTTAGATTATTCTCTATTCATCAAAAATACATCTACTTCATTCATAGCCATGTTACTGTATGTGGATGATATTGTTATAGCAACTAACGATCCCTCTTTAACAATTGATCTTAAGACCTTTCTGCATAGTCAATTTCACATTAAAAACCTTGGAAATTTGAAGTATTTTTTAGGTCTTGAGGTAGCTAGATCTACTAAAGGCATTAATGTTTGTCAACGAAAGTTTGCACTTGAGCTTCTCCAAGACTCTGGTTTTCGTGAAACCAGACCAGCTAAATCTCCCATGGAACAGCATCTAAAACTAGATGAAACTACAGGTGCCGAAGTTTCTAATGTTTCTGCTTACAGGAGACAAATAGGAAGATTGCTTTATCTCACACTTACTCTGACCAGATTTAGCATATTCTGTACATGTTCTCAGTTAGTATATAGCTTCTCCTAAACAGTCACACTTAGATGCAGCCCACATAATTTTGAGGTATCTCAAAACTAGAATAGCTCAGGGCCTTTTCTTCTCTGCTACCTCTGATCTCCACCTCAAAGCTTTTTGTGATGCTAATTGGGCTGGATGCCCTGATACACGAAGAAGTGTTATAGGCTTTTTGTGTTTTTTTGGGCACTTCTCTTATCTCATGGAAGTCTAAGAAAAGAAGTAGAATACAAGGTCATGGCCTCTACAGGATGTGAACTGACTTGGATTTTTGCTCTGTTTGTTGACCTTCAGATTGCACATTCCCAGTTAGCTCTACTCTTTTGTGACAATCAAGTTGTCCTACATATAACAGCTAATCATGTGTCTCATGAAAGAACGAAAACATATAGAGCTTGATTTCCATTTCATTCGGGACAAGGTACAAGCTAGTTTAATCAAAACATTACAGATTTCTTCTTCCCAACAATTAGGTGATATCTTCACCAAACTACTTGGAATTCCTCAGTTCAATCTTCTTCTTAGCAATTTGGGTGTTCTTAATATCCCTACTTCATCTTGAGTGGGCGTGTTGAATACTACAACAGTTCACAACAGCTTAGCTCAGAGCATTTCCCAGTAGATCATAACAGAATAGGATTACTTAGCTTAGCTCAGCTTAAGTTTGCTAGGACAAGGTAGTTAGGAGTTTGTTAGTATGGCTGGGAAGTTGCTATAATTAGCTAGATATTTAAATACTAAGATTTTTATTTTTCAACAAGGGCAAGTGTGACGTATATAAATACATTTGGTGGGGAGAAATAATACGAAAATAGAATTTATCACTCCCTCTCTTTCTCTCTTTTTCTGTTATTCTAATCTTTTTCCTTCAATCTTAATACAAAGGTAGATCATTCACGTCGGAACTAGAATATTTATAAAGAATAAATCTCTCATGACCTAACACCAAGGGATTGTCTATTTTCTTTTAACTGTTTAATTGTATTGTGGAGGATATAAGCTTTTTTAGCCACTTCTTGATTATGTTTGGGTGCGTTTATTTAGCTGGAAACTGCTAGAAAATGCAAGAAAGAAATTTTTTTAAAATTTTCATATGTTTTGTTAGCATGAAAAGAAAATTGATAGAAAAAACAATTTTTTTCATGCTTGAATTTTCTCACAAATAACTAACTTTTTTTCTTGTAAAAAACACAAGGAAACGAAATAAAGTTGTGATTTATAACTAACTTCTCATTTTACTCTTATTTTTCTTAATATATTTTATTGGTTATTAATTTTAAAAAAATTTGGTATGAATTTAATTAATCATATAATTTAGCCCAAAAACCTTTGTATTGGTGATTGTCTTAGAATTTGTTTCAAGCAATTTTTTTTAAAAAAATTATCTTTTAATTATAATTACATTTTTTTCTTTTTTAAACTGATTTAATATAATTATGATTAATTTAGACAGTTATAAAAAATTGAGCAAAATCCAGTTTACCCCTGGTGGTTTGGTCGTTTTAGGCATCACCTCCTTATGGTTAAAAAATCAACATATAGCCCCCCTTGTGTTTTTGAACTAAAATGTGACCGTTACTATTTCTGTCAAAAGTGACAGAAATTATAACACATGTGCTAGATTTGCAAGTATGAATGTAAAAAATTTAAGTCAGAATCAAAGTTCAATCTAAAAAGTCCAAATATATCCTTGTGATCTTTCAAAAAGACATTTTTTTTTATCTTCTTTTACATTTTACTGTTAAAAAAAAATAAGACAAAGAAAAAAACTAACTCCTCTGCATCACCACTCAACAACGCCCTCACCTATGGCCAAAACCCTCACCCTTGGCAACCCAATCCCTCTGCC